TCATAATAATCTATCAATGTATGAGTCACGTGTGCAATATAAATATCATTTGAACTTACTAATACTTTAGAAATTGATATATTTTGGTACCACATAAGACTACCCTTATTTTATTAAAGGTTTATTATTAGCTTAGTAATTGTTATTAATTCAGTCATAAACACAAAAGCGTGAATAAACAGTTATCACATTACAAAAATGGGACCTGTTATATATGATAAATATGAATCTGATGGAGCTGAGGGGTTTAACGCCGACTGATGGAGAAGTCAAAATAAGTAACTAGCAAGATTCGAGGTTTAATGGTATGCATGGATGTGTGTTCATTAATAGGATGATTAAGATGTTTATGACCTAATTACTGACCATTAATAAACTTTTAAACAGTTTTAAACACAAATGCTTTATAAATGTAGTCTAAAGTGGCATCGATCTTTTGGCAAGCATTTGTGTGCATTTTCACAGTCAGTTTAACAGAATTTTTGCCAATGGAATTTTGTTCTGTTTAGCTTGTCTCAGCTTGCAACAGATGCTACTAATGCATTAGAAGTGGAGCATGGATAGGTCAGATACTTTAGTATTTTTTTTCTTCTTCCCCTCAGTCCATAGCCACGGTGAAATTAGGTGAAATGAGGGGTAGATGGCTTTAGGCCTGGGCAGATGAGTGAGGACACAGTGGAAAACACAGGCTCAGGAGGAAAGTTTGAAATTGAGAGAAGGTTAGAGATAGAGGAGAGTGGGTGTCGCACCATACTGGTGCTCACTGTGGAGTGACCCACTTAATGAATACAAATGTCACACAGCACCGTGAAAGGTCACTTAAAGGTTCAGGAAGGTGACTCACACACCTCACCTCTGGCCACAGTACACATATATTTAACCTACATGGAGCAGCAAATACTGCTTTGCCTCTTTTTTTTGTTCTTTCTGAAAGTTGTGTGATCATCTGTTTTGAAGAATTAATAAAGTACTGGATCCAGTCTAACCCAACTAGCTTTAGAGAATACTTTTCGAATTACATCTCCAGTTAGATGTTCACTAAAAATGGAAATTACATTAAAACCACAAAAGTATGAACCTTACTTCCACCGAAAAGAATGAGGGCATAAAACAGGCCTTGGTGAGTTTTATTGAGTTTAAATTTTGTATGAGGGACAACGAAGAGACTTTCTTGTGAGACTCAACTAGTCCACTTTACAAAGACATTCAGAATCTGTGAGCTGGTAACACAAGAAGGAAAGAATATCCATCCAAAAGTGGACATTGCTTATTTAAGACTGAAAATGCTTTTCTAAATTTAAATTATTAAGTTGTAGATTAAATTTGCAGTCATGCTTCATTCAGCTTAGGACAAAAGAGGAGTTAAAACCTTAAAATAAAGGCTTCTGAAGAGTTCTTGAACTGATCTTATGGTTGTGGTTGTAGGGCTGAACGATTTGAGGGAAAATACCTAATTGAGATTTTTCTGATGATTATTGTGATTGCGATTTTAGTTGTGATTATTTTCTATAAATCAAGGTCCAGTCTTGTGTTTTTCGAAAAAGACCAGCATAGTGTCTTTTTCTTGCTTGAGGTTTGAACGCTGAACGTTGTGTGCCAGACTGGCAGTTAGTTGTGGTTCTGTTGTACACAGCACATGGATGTTTGGTTGCTTTTTCGTGGTCTAACTCATCTACAGGTGGTTCACAAGCTTGGTGTTATTAGTTTAAATGTCCCCACCTTAAAGTTGATAAGACAACCTTGTTGATAAAAAAAAGGCAAAATTCAAAATTTTAGCTCTTAAAGTTTGCAGATTGCATTCTCCCAAAATGAGATTTCTATATAAAGAAGATTAGTCTTTCGGTCCTATTCTAGAGACAACATTTAAATGATATAGATGTTGATGTTATGTGGTGTTCTTAAATTTTTAAAGTCTATCTTTAATGCCACACATCTCATTTATAATATGATACTTGAAAGAATGATCAGTTGAAAGCTTCTTTAGAGAACTAAATTAGGTTCTTCTCTGGCTTCAAAGAAACTTTTTGTTTTCAAGAGTCTATCTAGTGTTTGTAATGCAGCACATCTCCAATTTGCTGCCATCACTTATGTTCTTGTGTAAATAACAGAACATTTTGCCCAGTTTTCAGATATCTTCATCCTTAAAGATAGCATGATTTACCTTCAGGCACTTTTTTTGCAAGTCACATACAGTGGGGATCTGAAAATCTAAGACCACTTGTGAAAATGCTTCTATTTCGCATTGTTTTCTAATTTAACACACATTTTTCGTTCCAAATGATATTATCAGCATAAAAATTTGAGTGAAAGGTAGAATCGTTAATATTTTAGATTTAATGATGGCGTGCACTCGCGCTGGCATGGACTCCATAAGTTTGTGCAAAAGCCTCTGAGTCGATCAAATGCACCTGAGAGTCATCCAATCACAAACTTCAGAGAGACGAGATTTTTTAAATTTTTTTTATTTTTTTACATTTTTCAAAATTCTAAAACTTTCTGGTGTTTATTTCCAGGTTTAAATATAAAAAATCTATGTAGTCTCAAACTTTTGGACCCCACTAAACACAATTCACATGCACATAATAAGCCATAGAGTTGTTCTACTGGACATATCAGTCCTTCTCCCACTAGTGGAATTATTTATTAAATGATTAAATGTGCAGTTATGTAATGAATAACATTTGCTTTCAGTATAGACAGGTCTGAGTCTCCACTTCTGTCACTTTAATTTGTTTTGATGTCAAAAAATAACACGAAGACAGCAAAAATATAAAGTGTTTTTCTTTCTGCTAAACATGACGATACAAATGACAATAACTTCATCAGATTAAAATACTCCATTTCTGAATTTAGTGAGACGTGGGGAAGTTTATTCAGTTTTTCAGAAGATGAGTACATCAGCACCCTGAGTTTCTTGATGCTCAGTGCAATGCCAATGTCAACTGGCTAAATCAAACATAAACAGACACAGTGCTTCAGCTTTGAGTTGCTAAAGTATGAGTCGGTACACATTGGTGATAGTTCAAAGAAAGAAGATACTTTTATTTATTTATTTATTTATTTAATAGCAGTACTCCTGATTTGGCTGCACTGCACCATAAGCAGTCTGGCAGGATCCAAAGCCCACTGCTGACTCAGAAGTGCTTGTGGCCTCACTATAGTGTGCCGACAGACCATTACCTTGGGGCTTCTGCATTCACAACGTCCTGTCCTGTGCTGCGCGACATAGGTGGCACACGCTACATTGCTCTTGGCAACTGCATTCCAGAGGTCAAAGTTTAATGCTGAGATTTATAGCATCCTGTTGGGGCTGGACTGCGGAAATGAGGCTCCTCACTGAGAATCTTCCAAAACAGCCTAGAGGAGTTATTGCACATTGTTATCTCTAAGATTCTGCTGCAGCATCCCATAAATATCCCACTATACTGTAGTCACAACTTTGCATTTTTACTTTTGCTCTGTTTCCACACTGTAGTGAGTAGCAGTATTACACAAACTTGAGCTTGGTGATTTTGAAATATGGTGAGAAAAAAAATATTAATGGAGAAAATAGCAATGCATGTGGTGCTAACCAAATACGTGTAATATTCAAATATATTTTGAATTGGTGCTGAAGTACATTGAATCAGGTTGAATCTGCTCAGTCAGTGGTGATATTTTTGCTCAATTTCTCTCTCCTTTCAGATGCACAGAGATTTACTTATTGATTGCTTTCACATCCTGCATGCCCAGGCAAGCCTGTAGTTTTGAAATTGGAATAGATTTTTCCTTTTACATTGATTGGCTCAGGTGACAGCTAATGACTCAGAGTTTGTGAGTGTGTGTGTGTGTGTGTGTGTGTGTGTGTGTGTGTATATATGTGTGTGTACGTGTGTGTGCGTGCGCGCGTGTGCGTGCGTGTGCGTGCATGTATGTGCGTGAGCGAGAACTGCTGCTCATGCAGAGTCTAGGTATTGTTCAACTGTCTATTAATGTATTTTGTGCAGGTGGTATATAACTGGAAAAAGACCTGGCATCTGGTTTACTGTGCGACAGTGCTACAGCCAAGGGTAGACAATGCCTGTTGCCTAGTGCATCTGGCCACAACATGTCACATTTTGGCTGCTAAAAATGCAGAGGCTTGAGGATTTTTGTGTTCTTTTTCTCTTTTAATAAATCGGTTTGGTCAGACATGAAATTAATTGCATCAAATCAGATTTACAAACTGAACTTATTAACTGTAACCACAGCAGCCTGCGTGATGGTGTGGTGACTGAGGCAGTCTGCCTGATACCATAGATGCTATTTTATTTTTGTTTTATGTGAAAATAAGTACAAATTTACTTTTCACACACTTTTCACACATTTGTGTTGAAAAATACTGTTTATTTGCAGAATTTCACGTAATTTTTTGGGGGGACTGTCTTTGTTGACTTCAAGAATGGCAGATAAAGGATGTTAAAGGATTTGGAAGTACCTTGAGGAGGTTTGGGGGGTGGTCACTTAACCTCTGGATCCAGACTCCCTGTGTGTGTCCGTCTCTCTTTATCTACTTCAGATCCACTCCTTTCATCATCCGCCCCCCCACCCAGACCCACAGGCCACTGGAACCACCAAATGCTGTCCTACAAAAACACACCCACACACTCCAAAGCTGCTATCACACATCCACAGATGAGGACCCTCACCTACAGACCAGAGAACACACAGGGTTACTCACTCATTGTGTGTCTGTTTCACTGTTCCCAATTACCCTGCCACCTCCCTCTCGTTTTCCTCTATCTTCTCCCTGTTGTTGTTTTTCTACCTCCATGCTAATCTTCAGCCCCATGACATCTGGAATGTCCTCTGGTTTTCTGTCTGAGTGAGTGAGTGATAGAGAGTGATAGCAACAGACTAGAAGAGAGACTGACAAACTCCACTGAACAAAAACAGACACTATTAACTCTTGTTGTTCAAGCTGTGCGTTGCTTTAATTATATACTAGACACTGAATTCTTTTGTTGTGTTTTGAATTGCAGTGAGAACGGCAGCCATGAAAACCCAGGAGCAGCGATCCAGTCCCCTAAAATCGCACATACAAAGTGAGTATGAAGATTATGTCCTTCATGTATGCACTCTCTGCTGAAGCAGTAAATTATAGCTCACAATAGTTGAATTGAACAAATTAGCTTTATTGAGTTGACTGCTAATTCTTAGCTTTGTGTTTGAAAGAGAAACTAACCAAAGGACATCACCATGAATATGAATAATATAATAGCTTTGAACTATGAGTTACTTTCTCTGAAGTCTAATACACAAATATGCTTGAAAACCACCTAAGGCGGTGTAAGTGGGAAATGGGAATGGGAACTGGGGGACGAAGAATAGTGGGCTTAAAGAAACAAAACTATTATGGTGTGATGTACTGCTGATGCCCCAGACTGCCTGTCTTATTGTTTACAAAGTTTCTAGTGACCTTAAAACAAACCTTGTGTGCAGGTCATTTTCGGATATTACTTGACTGTAATGGGGTACTGTCACAGGTATATACAGCAGAGTGTAAGTTTCAGCCACTTCACTTTTAAAATCTAGAGGGTTTTTTTTAGGGATTGGTAAAGCTCTCCTGACCCAGTGACCAACAACTGGCCATCTCAGCACATTCTTTTACGCTTGGTGAGACACGCACACACAGCTTTACAAAACCAACACCTACACGCACACGCAGCCTGACCATAACTCCTCCAATGACTTAAACACCAGACAGTCACCTTTGAACTCCTCACCTCTCACCTTCTAATCCATCTAACTGCTCTGGTTCATTGCATATCTGACTGTGGCTAAAAATAAATCCTTATGTTTTTCTACTGTGTATTCTACTGCTCTTATGCTCACCTTTTAAAGTCATGCCACTTTAAGAAGGCTTTTTCCCAACCTGAAAATTAAAACCTACAGAGAACTGTTTTGAGCTTCTGCCCATATCATTATTGCACCTCATAGAGTAAATCTACCAGTACATTTTATATTGTGTTTCTTCTTTTCTGTAGTCCAAAGCTATACCATCTTCCCACCAAAATCCAGCTCTCTCGTACTCGCTCAAAACAACGAACAACCAAACAAACCTGTAATGCAAATGACAAAACAGACCTGTACTGACAGCAGTCTGAACAGATTATGCTCCTGAACGACCCACAATCCATCTTGCAAATCCATCCAACAAACAAAGCTATCTTCTACCTTTTCTTAAGATTAATAAGCTCCTTTTATGTGACATTAAAATGAGCAATGAACTGAAAGGACAAAAAGACACTAAAATGATCACGTTGAACAAGGTTTAAAAAAATAGAAAGTTGTGAATTTCCGTGCTTGTTTTAATTGTGGAAGCTATACAAGCAGAGAAAGCAAGCTAAGTTTCTTTCACTTGTCTGTTGGGTAAAAGAACTCAAAGGGCTGCCAAACCTGGTGCCAAAGCAGCGATACATACTGGATAAAGACACCTGATCTGTGTTTGGCTCCTGTTTTTAAATCAGTATTTCAGTAAAACAGATTTTAAATAGCTGTTAGTTTGATTTCTCTTATTAAAAAGTGGTGAGCTTATTTGTTTATGCTGCATGCATCTTGCTTGGCCTAGCTTAACCATAGTAACAGGCATTGCTGTAAGGCTTCTATTCCTATGCACATAATTATGATGACGACCATAGGATGAGGCCACATTGCCGTGTTTTGAATACATATTGGGTTTCGGTACCACATATGAAAGATGCTCCAATTGGAATCGAATCTGTCAGATTCAGTGTGTTTTGCTGTTCACTTTGTCATACAAAGAACAGATCTGCGTATCGGATTTTGACTAGTTTTACCTGCAGTTTGAATGTATTCCAAGTCTTAAGATTAATGACTAGATAATAAGCCTAAGGTTCAAGGGGTTAAACAAGAAGTTAAACGTCTTGGTTACCACTCAGTAGTAGTGCTCACTGCCCTACCTCCTCTTCTCTCTGTTGGCCCAAGTCATAGCTGAGCTGGAATCAACTGCCCAAATAGAATTCAAGTATTCCATAGCGCGAGAGAGTGAAAGTTCCAAGGGCATGCACTGTCAAAATAAGCCTGTCTAACCTAGCTCCAGGTGTTAACCCAGAAAGCTGAACAGACTATATAAATGTGTTCCTCAGTTTGTTTCTTTGACAGTGACAAGATTGTTTAATTTTACAGAAATTAAGTTGCACCTGGTGCAACTGATTGAGAATCCAAATACAAAGATAATCCTACAAGGACGTAAAGTGGCCTTTGATCATGACCTCTCCAGCTCGAACAACCTGGCATCCATAATGATTATCAGAAAGAGTCTGCATGCCTCATGCTCCTGTGCTGAAAATGAGATTATTTTATTCAGACAATTATGATGAGAAATTTCTGCTTCCTGTCACCCATTAAAGCAGAAACTGTAGGCAGCCTTCTACTATGTTTGTGTGGGTGCATAGGACTGACTACTTTTCCTATTATAAAGGTACTGCCTTTGGGCATGCTCTGATGGACGTTTATCCCCAGAGGAATTGTATGACAGTGTGTTTGTATGAACACAGGGAGTTTACCCCTTACTGAGCAACAGCATGAATGGGAAATGCACACTGAGTCCAAATCAAAGGCTCTCAGTCTGTAGTCCAAGGTAGTGTAGGTGAATGTGTGGCAGAGAAGAGAAGTGTGAAATATGTTTAGCAGACAGTTATTGGTGCAATGAAAATGTAAATTCTTGGCCAAAATGGAAACCAAGATTCAGGACACACTGGCCAAGAAACAAAAACCCAAACCACTAAAAGCTGACAATAAATAAAAATATAAAATACACAAAAAAAGTATACAACAAATTTGCTAATTTCAGTATGTGGGCTACGGTGTGTGCCATAGAATCCAGTGTCCCTGTCAACAGAGAAGAGTTAATCATCCAAGGCAATGAATGTTATTGTTGTTTTTTATTTATTTATTTATTTTTAATTAAGCTCAAGAGTAAGCTCCTTGTTTGAATGTAAGTGCTGCACCATTTAAGGTGGAACGGAAAACTTGGATAAGAAGCTGCCGAATAGGAACATCATTGTCATTTATTAGGTCCTTTGCACTTTGGCAGTCGTTTGTAATTTTTGACATTTCAAAGACTGATGCTTCAGGTGATGTTGGCGTGCTCACAAGGACTTTTCTTTCTGCTTCCATTGATTTGCTACATTCTGTGTATAGAGCAGGATGCTGTGTTTTCAAGTGGAATCAAACTTGTAGTGGAGATGTTTTGGGTGTTGTACCCTCTCTTGATACTCAACATTAACAGAAACTATTAAATCACTTGCCTAATCAGTTGTACGTATCATTTTTTGTCACTTTATTGTTGGCCGCATAAGTCTTTGCTAATTTTGGTTAAAGTTTTCAATTACCGAAATTTCAGTACACTCCTTTTTGTCTCTTTCCATGATTTGTCATTTTTAGGTCATCATACCATCATGACAGTGACAGTAAACCTGATGATCTTTTGACAGGTGATCCCCGTCCCATGGCACAAATGAAGACTCTTCAGTTTCGTTGCATTGCACCTAAAGCCCCAACAGTGGGTTCCTCTTCTGCAGTGCTGTCCTGCCAACCACCCCCTGCCCTTCCAGAGCCTTCGACAGCCATAAGCCCCAAATCCATCCTAGTACCTGCACAGAAATATGCTCTCATGCAGGTCGCTGGACAAGGGGGTACTTTCTCACTGGTGGCCTTACCTCAGACACCACCGCAACATCAAATCCAGAAGAACCTAAAACTTCCCATTCCTAGATACCAGCCGATTAGAAGCAAGAGAACCCCAGAAAAAGCCAGTAGAACGACACAGACTGCAAAGTCATCTGCAGTGAAAGTGAAAACTGAGAGTCCGGAACAGTCATCTGAACAGATCGTTAAGACAGACTCTGCTCCTCAGTCTAAAGTCTTGTTCCCAGACAATGCTGTCCTGTACCCAGGACCACAGACAGAGAAACCTGTTGAAAGAAATGTGGATTCTCTCAGCAACCTCAGCTATCCCACTAGAGCCTCCACGGCTACACTTGTTGCTCCTGTCAGTAACAGCTCACCAGTAAAAGCCCAGGTAGAACATGCAGTCTCTGCAGCGAGTGCTATTACTGTCCTCTCCCCCACCATCTTCAGCAAAGCTGTGCAGATCATTCCCTCTCCCCCCAAGGGGAAGCTCCCAATCCTGCCCTATGCTAAGGTAAAGAACTCCCTCTTGCCATCTACTGGCCTTGCCAATACCCAGTCCCCAGGGAAGAGCGCCTCAATTCAGCTTAAAAACAGCCTGAAATGCCCCCCAGACATCAAAGCCAAGACCATGGACAATGGCAGCAGAAGTACCTGTCTCAGCCAGGGTTCAGATGCCACCCAGTGCAAGAAACCTCCAGACAAAAGGCGGGGGAGGAAGAGGAAAACTATGGAGGATGTTGTGGCCTTCGAGGCAAGGAAGAAGAGATCGCTGTCGTTTTTCTGCAGGAGAGTTCCAGAAAAACCACCACCTGGAACCCAGTCTGCTTCCCCCCAGGCCAGGGTGGTGGACATTTCGAAAAAGTATCGCAGCATTCGTCCAAAGCCTATTTTAGTGATGGAAACCACTGTTCCTCAACTTGTACCTCTACCGTCTCTCTCAACCTCTGAGAGCGTTGGCCGGGAGCTCATTCTGAGGCAGCAGATGTCAGGAAAACCCTTGAATGCTGCCCGACCAAGCTTAGTGTCCATTCAAACCCCTGGCCAGCAGTCTGTGGCCAAAGCTGGAAGTGGCAGCAGATCTACGAACAGCCGCCCACATGCACTCCACCGGTGCCCCACCTGCAGTAGGTGTTTCCAGTTTAAGCATCACCTACAGAGTCATTTAAACAGCCACAGTAACCTGAGACCGTATGGTTGCCCAGTGTGCAGGAAGGCCTATGCTCACTCAGGTAGCCTCAGCACACATATGAAGCTGCACCATGCTGAGGGGAGGCCTAGGAAGAGCCTCTGCTGTGAATTCTGCGAGAAGGCATTTGGCTATGTTGGTGTCTATTTCAGCCACCTCAGAGAAGTGCACAAGGTTATACTCACTGTGGAACCATCCATCAGTCAGCATGAGGAGAACACGCCCATAGAGGGGTAAGTGACGAATATACAGAAACATTCAAGCCAAAGAAAAGTTAAATACCTGGGCTATTTCTTAGGACAGATATTTTGCATTTAATAATATTTCTTATAGAAAGTTCCATGTTTCAAGTAAAATCAAAATTCCTCACACATGATGATTCTGCAAACTTCAAGCTGCCTCACAATGTAACCAATTGCATTTCTAATGACAAAATGTGGTTTCATATGTAGCTTTTTGTGTTCTGAAGTCCATTAAGTGTACCTATCTTGTACGCACACTTGTAGGTACACCTGCTATATAAGTGCACTTTGTAGGTGTCTAATTACTGACTGTAACCCATCCATTATAATGTACAACCTCTGAGCCACCTTCTACACTCTGCATTAATGAGCACATGGTGATGGCAAGGTTATGGGTGTGTTCTACAGGTGTGAGTGTATCAGGCACAGTAGTTCTGCTGGTATTTTTAAACATACAAGTCTGTTTATTAGACCCTGTTTGTACCTGGTATTGATGTCTGTTTCAAGTGACGTCATTACAAGTGGATTTGTAGCCACTCATATCTGGCATTTCCATAGCCTTGAATGCCTCTCCAGTGATCACTTAAGACAGGATTTTGTGAGTGGGCGAAGGGTGCCACGCATTATTATTATTATATATAAGTCTCTCAGGGACATATTGGGTTGCTTTAGCATTCACACTACAAATTTTCTGTGATCGTATGCATTCCTGTCCATCACTGAAGGTGGTTTGAGTGATTGGATCAGAGTTCGCCTTCACATTGCACCTATATGGTAGGTGTATCTGGTAAAATGACCAGTGAGTGTAAGTACAGAGTAAAGTGATCAGCTTATATTACACAGAGATATTTTCTTTTTCTGGTGGACTTCAGGTGTACAGATTCTGATGATCAGGCTTCAGAGCAGCATGTGGACCCGGTGGAATTGCAGATCAAATGTGGCCGCTGCCAGGCCATCACTCCCACCTTCGCCGACATGAAGTTACACTTGCTGTACGTGCACGGTGAGGAAGTGCAGGTACGTCTGAAGGAGGGGGCCATGCACGGGGGCCGCGAGGCTGAAGACGAGCTGGTCAAGCATGCGGCCCACTACTGGAGGCAGCTCAACGAGCGGCGCAACCTGGTGCGCTGTGGAAACTGTGACGAAGAGTTTTTTTCGTTCTCTAAGCTCAAGCGCCACCTGCACTCCCACCACCAGGGGGCTAGAGAGAGTCAAAAGGAAGAGCAGGAACAGGAGAAAGAAGGTAAAGAGCACACTTCTGGGGGCCCAGCTAAGAGTGTGACCCTTAGAGTGGGGTTACAGTTTAATTGCATCCTGTGCAGTGAGGTCTTGGACAGGAAGCAGGACATTCTGGAGCACTGGAGGGGACGTCATAACTGTGAAAACCCGGCCATGCTGTGGGAGGTACTGGACTCGAGGGGAGATGATACCTGCTCACAACCCAAAGTAGCATCCTAAGTAAGGTATTTCAGCAAGTTCTCTGGGAGTTTAAGTGGCAGCACAGAAAAATAAACAAAAAATCATCAGTGAACCTTTTTCTTTAACTTCTTTCATATTATTTTTGCCTTTTGCGCTGTTCTGTTTTGATATTGACTTTTTTTTTTTATACTTCCTTAATTTATGTTTCCTGTTTTTTAAAATATAAATTAAGACTTCTCCATTTTGAATTTTGTAATGGACATGGGATTGGACATAGGATTCTGAAAGAGTATATTAGGATAGCTATTTTGAGCCTTTGCATTGTACTGATTGGTGCCTGCCAATTTTCTGAACAACGTTGAGTATTCCATGAAGAATCGCCACTAAATGAACAGTTTAACCAAAACTGTTAACATGGCTGACAAGGAATGAATGCCTGTAATCCATGTACAGTTGTGTAAAAAGGTTTGAATGCTCCTGGTCAAATTACTTGTTCATTTTCTAAGCAAAAATCAACAAAACATCAACAAAACAACAGCATTTTTCTGCATTTTTGAGCACAATTTCTATATATTTGAGTTTAACATGTTGGAGAAAAACAAAACATAAAATATAAAAAGTGCCCCAACTTCTGCATAGCCCACATTTTAGTTTTAAACAGTAATTGTGTATTCAAATGTGCAGAAGTGTGTTCTGTGTAGAGGATTTGTAACTTATTTTCACCTAGAAACTTAACAAAACATGTAATATGACCAGGGTTGCCCAAATGTTTGCATACGACTATTCGTTCAACCGTTTTAATCAGGACATCTATTAATTTATCCATAAATTAGTCCAGAGTAACAAAATATCTGCTTAAATTAAGTAGCATCAGATTACACTGCACACTGAATTGCAGTGATTGTAAAAAGGTGCTGATATAATGCTGGTTTGCTACTTCACAGATCAAGGCATGTTAATAGGGAAACTCTCTGACCGTCGTCCAGACTCATTCAGTGCTGCCACCTCTGCTGTAAAGAGGACTTGGTCAGTGAAATTCTAAGAGGTGCTTATTTCAGATAAGGATGACACACTAAGAGATATTAAAAAAAAAGAAAGAAAACAACAATTTTATGTACAATTTCTGTTCTAAGGCAACACAACCACACATGGTTTTGTGTGCGCACGTGTAGACTAAAGTGTGTTATAAGTGTACTTTTGTTGTGTTTTGGCTTGGAAAACATTTTTCCCAGTGAAATGTGTAAATTTATTGAAATAGTCTTGTGTTTCAATTCCTAAGAGAAGTATAACAGGGTAACTGAATGTACCTTGAATGTTTCAGAATCCTACCAAATGTTATATAAAAAATAGATAGATTATATTTCGCTCTTTACATATATACACATAGATATAATGAGAATATATATCTTTGCATAGAAGATGACGGTCACCATGCTGCTGTTATAGCTCAAATAGAGAAAATCATTTTAAATATTTAAAAACTTATAACATTATAAATTTCTTCAGCATACATACAGCCCTTGGTGTGTACTGTAAGCCCCTCTTTGCTTCTAATTAAACTTGTGGGCCACATTTTCTGGACACAGATCATGTCAAGCCCTTCACTTTAAAGGTTTTTAGTGAGTGGAAAAAGCCATTTGACAATGTATTGTTGTTCATGACTAGGCTTATTGTATGTCTAGAAAACTGTCTGGGAATTTGTTATTGAAAGGACACTACAAATACACTCAAGGTGCCTTTCAGGCAGTTTTCAGACTGTTTGAGTAACAATTTATTTGGAATCTGTCACATGAGCATAAGCAGTAAATAGCATATTGAAATACTGAAATATTGCCTTTGAAGTGCATAATTCATTGCTTACCTATGAATCATGAAGTCCCTATGTAGGTAACCTTAAAATAAAGTGTTACCGTTTATTGTCTGACAATCCGGAATTTAGATTTAGAGATTTTTGAGCTTACGTAATGTTGCATACATATTTGAAATGACTTGATGAGCTCACCCACTTTTTTTTTTTTAATGGATCTTGCCTGTGGTGCATTCCCCCCAAAGCTAAACTGAAATCTTTATTTTACCTTTTTAATGAAAGAAATGGTCCATTATGGTTAGAATTACATGCTTTTTCAAGAATCTAAAAGGCATGTTTTAACTGAATTGTGAGAATATACACAAAAGCTGTTCCTTGTGTCTAAAAGTGACAAGAATGTGTCTTAAAACACATGTGATCATTTACTTGGTACTGAAGATCATGTCCTGTTGTCCACTGTGAAAATGACTTAAGCCTGTTGTATGTGGCTTTAGCCTAACGCAGCCCTGGTTGGGCTTTGCTTTTGTTCTAAACTAGTGAAGAGAAACCCACATAACTGATTGGTGCCTAAATAAAAAAGCAGTGACTAAAACTGTTCCTTTGCTGGAGTTTTTAATTCTTCCAGTTTTCTGTAAGATCAGATGTCAATTGAATATTTAGGAATTCAGTTAGGAAGCAGGGGTTTCAGGTACAAAATTCACTTATTGTACAACTCAAATTGGAAGTGCTGATAATGCCTTCAGTTGATGATTGTGATATGAGGAGTGATTGTGAGACTGTATTAAGTGAAAAAAACAGTGAACTATGACTTCTTGAAGGCTTCTGCTTTGCACCGTCACTGTTACGAATTATGGTCTTTTGATGGTGAATAGCTGTGAGATAGCTGTGAGATAGGTGGCTTCAAGATTGATAGAGATGTCTTGGGAGATTGTAGGCAAATGAAGAGATTTATCTGAGGTTATCGAAAATCCTTTTGGATGTAGAGTCACCTGAGAATGACTGGCAGAGAGGTGATGAGTTTAGTATAGAGTTTAGCGTACTACACATTCTTAAAGATGATTTATATTGGCCTGGGTAAAAATAGCAGAGGCAGCATTCTGTGAAGGAAAAGGAATGCTGAAAGCATGTAAGAGGTGATTGCACTTAGTATTGTTTCCTGGGCCCGTTGAATGAGGTTATAGAGCGGAGACATTCAAGATCATTTCTAAATAAGTTGATGTTGGAAATGACTCAGAATCGGGTCCCAAGGTCGAAGTTTTAAATTTGAAAATGAGAAAAAAAAAATTACATTGGAATGGCAGGGAATCTGCGTGGTTCTGTGGACAAACTAGTGTTGTATTTAGTGCCAAGTACGATGTAAAAGAACCACATTAGTGTTTGGCATTTAAAGCATCACTTAATAAGGATATGAATGACTGCTGAGATATGTGATGACCGAGAGAGCAAATTCAGGAGATCAGGCAGAGGTAAAAGAGTGACCAGCATCAGTAAATAACTTCAGGTCTTCAGGGATGGAGAGAGTGTCCTGATTTGCTGACCTAGTGTTGGATGAGGAATCAAAAACAAAATTCCATGAGGCAAAGATCTTCCAGAAAGATAGTATGCAAAGGCACTGAAGATGAAAGATGAAGGTTGAAAATGAAGGAGGTTTTAAGGTATGATGTAGACGATAGATTTCTGGGAGGATCTAGCACAAATTTTAGGACCACTCTTGTAGCTGAAGATATCTGCAAGAAGCTGAAGCCAAACGTAACTTACTTTCCCAACATAAGCCAAACATTATCCTTGTCCCTCTCATCACATGGTTATCTCATTGACCGGTCGGAAGGCATTGTCATCGCTTCTTCTCCTAACCTACCCTGTTTATGGAGATCTGATTATTACTGTTATCAGAAGTCAAGACAATATATAGTTTATGGGTTTACACTACAGGCTGGTTGTTTAAATGATCAGACCTCTGATTGTAACTTTTGTGTTTGTTTCACAACATACCAGTTATTAATTGTTTGCATTCATACACATATCTGGAATTCTTTCACACGTGATACTAGGGCTGGGCGATAGCGCAAAAATCATGACACGAGGCATTTTCATGATACTCGATATTCACCACGATTTGGTACATTGGAAAAGACAAAAAAGACATAGTTGAGCCACTTTTTAAAAATACCATCAAAAACACTACACACACATCTTCCGTTTAGCTTTAGCAAAAGTCTCACATGCAGACCGTACAATCACATTCCGAGGTTAGCCTTGTTCTGGAATCGTGCGATTATTGGAAGAAGAAATTCACAAGACCAGATATGTAGGTTACACATACACAGAATGGTGGGATCACAAGATAGGACACCCAAATATGCGCTGCTCTAAAAATACATTTATTACCTCATAATATGCTGCATATATTTCCCCATGTCACAGTAGAGCAATGAAAGAAACTTCTGATTTCTCTACAGTGGTCAGGAGAGACTGTTCCAGTCCTGCCTCGAACAGAAAATAAGGAGCAAATAACACTGTAAAAATGGAAACATTCATTTTAAATATTGTTTCATTTTATGGAGATAATATCATAATAATGTTATGGAACTACTCATTGTTCTATCCCCGCACCGTTGTAATATTCAGCCGCTCCCCTGCTGCATTCTTTATTGGATTTCTCAGTGCCTCGGAGTCAGGTAAACTTCTGTTTTAAAGGCTATGTGCATGTTCCTAGCCTTTCTGCTCACATAGTGCAGTCACCCCAGAGAGAGCGGATGAAGGTAGTGCGGGAACCAACACGAGGGCCGATGCATATTTCTCTTTAATCATGGAGACACTCGTTCTTTCATTCTCTCGCTCGCTCTTTCTCTTCACACCAGAAACATGATCACTCACGGGAGATCAAAGCCCACCCCTCTAACAGGATTAGAGGATGGAGGGAAAGAAGGAGGAGAGTGCCTGTTTTAGAGGAGACCGGAAGAGATGGGGCAGAGGAGCAAAGAGACAAGTGGGAGGTCAGAGACGGAGTGATGTTGAAAATAATATAAGGAGACAAACAGGTAAGGAAAATGAACCAGAGAGAGACAGTGGACTAAGAGAAGAAAAGAGTGCACTTCTTACCATGTGCTGATAGAGATGAACATTTTCTAGTCGAAAACTCTCACAGCACAAATACACACAAAAGGCCTTGCTCACCATCCAGCCATCTTTTTTTTTTCAGAATGACCCAGAAAAAGAAAGAAGGAACGATGATGGTGTTGATGAATTCTTCATGAACACTGATGAATGGTGACTAATGAAAGACTGTTCACCAGTGAGTACGTCTGATAATGAGCTCCTCCACACAAATCCTCCTGCTTCTGCCGTGCAGGTGAGTGTGCTGCTGTATGAGGATTTTAAAGCAGTGTTTAATTTGGAGGGTCAGTGGCCACTTGTGTGAAGAATCTTGGGTATTTATCTTAAGATGAATGCTTAAGGGTTACATTTAAAGCTAAAATTTCAGTTACCATTTTGGAAGTCATAAATTGAAGTTCTCAAACTTAAAGCTGCACTAATTTGAACTAAGTAGAATCACTGAGTCAGAAGAATAAAAAAACATGCTGAAATATGGCATGTCTGCACTGTGGTGAGTCACCTTGCAAAACCTGAAATTGTTTAATTGTTTATTTCACAAGTCAGAGGCATGAAGTTGGTACTTGTGGATATTTTTCAGACAACTTTATATATTTCATGTTATATATGTTAACATCACACGCAAGACTAATGGCTTGGTGTTTAGGTCTCAAATACAAAATCAACATTAACTGCTCATGGCGATGATAATTCACTTAGATGTTTGGTAGATGTCCTTCACCAAGTTTTGACTTGGGTTCTTTTTTAATTCACTTTCAACGCCCTCACAATCATCAGATTCATCCGCTTGGAGAAAGGGTCCAAAGCTCAAACAATGTTACAAGATGTTCTTATGCACGTTGCGTGCAATTACACATTTCCACCAGAGAGGTCACCAGATCCCCAGAACTTGTATAGTGTAGCTTTAAATCTAGGGTCTAAAGCTAAATTTACAGTTATTGATTTCAGTTACATAACTGTATGGAAATCAGTTATGATTTTTTTTTTTCTTTGCTTGTTTCAATTTAAACATTTTCCTGAAGAATTTTTGATGCAGCTCACTTAAGTTAAAGGGAAAACTTCAGGCCCATATTCACTTAAATGCAGGTGACCACAGGTTCCTGGAGATTATGCGGGGAACAAAATGTCTTAAAATACCTACTGAAATTTTCATTGTCAGGGTGAATTAAGGCCAACTCTGTGTAATTTATGTTCCAACTCATACTTTGAACACAGATTGCAATAACTACTAATGAGAGCTGATGTTTGGTGGCACTTTTCCAAGTTCTCTCAATCCATGTCCCCATTAACATAATTAAAAACAATACAACAACCAGGACTATAGACAGGCATGAAAAGAAGTAATGTTAGAATCAGATCAGATATTACAGATACAGCATGGCTAATGTAAAAATAGCCAGCAATCCTGCAACTAGAGAAATAGCACTGATAATAGAGAAATTACCATTTTTTCCTACATTCAGGAAAGTTATATTGGCATTTGTAAAGCTTAGGAAGATGCACTCCAACAAACAACTTTATTTTAGCAATTAAGTAGCTTTCAGAATTTGTCATAGTACCTATTATAAACCAATTACTCTCTCAAAATGTTGATAAGCACTTGAAGTCCCCCATGGATTTTAAAAGGTACGTTAATGACTTTTTTTGTCATTTCCACAGGATTTCTAATACTTAGTCTGCATGTCAAGAGTTGACTTTTAGTGAGTTATTACCTTGTTCTACCTTTTTATTTCTCTCAGTGGGAAAACACTTCTCTGCCTAGTGTGGCACAAGTCGTGTTTGAGGACATGCTTGATCATGTCCAACAGTGACCAGATGGAAAGGAATAGCCACATAGACGCTATATGTGCAAATGCGTACATATGATTATAATTTTACCTGTAGATATCTGTATGTATGTGTATGTGTGTATGTAGCTGTAGCCTTCAATGTCATTTCCTTTGCCCCCCTCTGCTCTTTCCCGTGAGCTTGGTGGTCCAGATGGCATAGACTCACTGTGCTCCACTGGGTCTTCTGTAGACCGCCCAGAGGGACAGCAACCATCTGCCCAGCACGCCGCCGTCCACATATGCACACGCACACAACCTCTGACCTGAAACACACTACAGACAGAAACCGTTGGTCTAGAGCATCTCTTTACTATTCTCAGATCAAAAACAGTTCACAGTGGCTGTGGTCAGCCTCAGTCCAAGCTTTAGATCAGGCTAATGTGTAATCTGCATGATTCACCAGTTTTGCTGCAGTTACATGCATAAAATATTCTTTTCAGATGCTTCTCTACAACTTTATAGGTTTTAACTTATGTATAGGAAGTTATAAAAAAAAATGAATTATTATGATAAGTGACTCCAAACTTTTATATGACAGTATATTTTGTCTTCCAGTTTCCTCTAATTCTCTAATTAGATGAATTTATGCGTTTAAATCGGTGCACCATTAATCTGTCACAGTTTAAAAGGTGCCACACAGTTAGGCTAGGTTGTTTAGGAAGGCTGAGCTTGATGTGTTTGCTGCTTCTCTCTTTTGATTGAACAGCTCAGGTACTGATGATGAATTCATGTTTTCCTTGTTTTTTGTGATATAGTGGTGGAATAGCTGTGTCTTCAGTTCATAAAGTAACATAAAGGAAAGCTTTTGACTGGGTCTCTTTTCCTGCAACCTGTAAAAGCAGTCTGTCCAGGGCCAGTGTGTCTGTACAGGTGAACTAGGCAGTTTCCTAAAGTGCAACTTGAGAAAAGGCGCAAATTATGCCAAATTATTCTCACCAAGAAAAACGTGATCATCAGTTTACTGTGCTCTCTTGAGTGAATGTGCTCTGCAAGTGCTTCAGTAGTTGCTCAGGCCATCCCTAACTCTGCCTCATCCTTCTTTAAAACCAGTTGATCAATCATAGCTTGCTGACTGACTGACCCTATTAATTTTCCCAAGGTTACTTTCTAACACCTAAGATAAACTGTTCCCCTTTGTTAAGTCCTTCAGTTATGGTTGTCCTGCAGACTAAATTAATCTTATGAAGAAGAAACCGCTGCAGTTTCAACATCTTTCCTTTTTTATTTGTAATCTGCATTTACTGTACAACTCTAGAGAGGATAGCAGAACATTTCTATTGCTCCCCAGGTATAGTAGCTGACGTGGTCCTGCACTGAGCTGGACAGGGATGTGGAGCATCTTTTCCACCTTGAGCCTCCAGGGTCCTCCGCTCTGGGGAAGCTCTGGATAGCAGCATGATAACGCATGTCCCTGGAGAATTAGGTCTGCCTGAGTGGTAACCTACATTCCGCCAGCCCACCTCCTCCTCTCTCATCTCACAAATAAGGCTAATGACATACTACAGGCCTTCCAGGAGACTTCATTACTCTCTTTTTGTGTATATGCTCTCCGCATTCTCCTCATTCACAAACAGTCCTATGTGCCTGCAAGCACACACATGCATGCACAAGCATCAGCACACAATAATGCATTTCCACTTCAGAGTATATACACTGCACTCATACGTGGTGTTCATTGAGGCATAGCCAGGTTCATTTTGAATTGATCCCTAATTTACATTTTTATATCTTCGAGAGAAGGGAGGGATTGAAAAAGTTTCACTTTCTAAGTAATCTGTTCATTTTTAATAGACCAAATAGCTACTTTATCTGCTTTGTCATGGGGCCTAGAAGCAGCATAGTGAGTTTAGTCAATGCAAGCGCAGCCAAGCTCTTGCACATACAGCATGGTAATCACCAAAGACACATTAGAGACTGACCTGTCCATGCTCCACCCACAAATGTGTACCTTTGCAGCAACTGCTGCGAGGTTGGACAAGCTTTTCAAATCGGCAGCAAAAATCCCCTTTAGTCCTATGGCAATTTTTGGGTCATTGTCATTTACAACTTTTCAATTTTCAATTAGCTGCAACATAATCCAGTTTGGTAGCAAACATGTTAGCAGTCCAATGCTAATACTGTACATATTGTGGTAAAAAAAAAATAATAATAAAAATAAAAAACAAGTATGCGCTACAGGTTCTCATTAGATTGAATAGGATTTTTACATTCTCTAAAGTTTATCCAGCCTAGCAACAGTTGCCATTCGTGGGCGAAGCATATACACGTCAATTCTCTAAACCTAATTGACTGTAGGCCTGTGTTGCATTAAATTGTGGGTGCATGATGCTTTTTTCCTGATTCCACTTTCTCCACTCGTTTCATCTACTAGTCTTTCTTCCATTGCTCTTCTTCAACATGCGTAAGGATGGATTACAGTAACACAGTGACAATTAATATTCATTCATCCTCCACCCCTTTGCTCCTTTGCCTGTGCTTTCCCGTTCACCCCAATCTCGAAGACGAATGAAGGTTCGCAGTTAGCAATTAAGAAAGCCATTCCATCGTTATCACCTTCATGTACATCTCCCCCTCCTCTACATCTCTCCTGAGAGCCCTTCCCCCAGACAGGCCTTCTCTGGATGGGCCTCCTGCTGTGACTGTCCCCCCTGGGGAAGACCTGGATCCCACCTCAGCGGTCACAATCAATTACATTCATCTATTCTCTCTCTCTCTCTCTCTCTCTCTCTCTCTCTCTCTCTCTCTCTCTCTCTCTCTCTCTCTCTCTCTCTCTCTCTCTCTCTCTCTCTCTCTCTCTCTCTCTCTCTCTCTCTCTCTCTCTCTCTGAGATGTTTCGATGAGTCACATTTTTTTCCGGCTTGGCAGCTCCCCCTAGTCCTCCTGTCACAGCCTAGGAGAGATGCTCTTCCTTTGCACTGCGTTTAGAGGGAGAGCACTGAAGCTGACAAATCTACACAGACGGAGAGGAAATAAATGGAGAGTGGTTAAAGGTGTAGAAATGGGGGGGGGATAGTTGTATATGTGGGCTATGAAAGACGTATTTGTTGAGCATTACTGTAGCTGCCACGGGTTCCAGTCCTGAGGTTAGATATGAGGCACTAGCAGGCCTTGCATCAGAGTGTGATTTAGAGGGGGAAAGCCCCACCAACCAATCAGCATGCCCCACTGTTTTGTACATGCTTCTACACTGGCAAGTTCCAAAATTGTGTAGTATGTTTTAATTTAGTATGATTTAGTATAATTTATATTAAAATATGAAATGAATTGCTTATTATATTCCATAGTCAATGCAGGTGAATTGCCACCCTCAGGTGGATACTTCACAATGAATCAAATTCATTTTGATACTCCTAAATAGCACATTATACCGTCAACTTTAATGTGATTCAGAAGAGGTGAATAAGAATGC